CTAACTTTCTCTTACGTTGTCTAGGTGTCTTAACACACAATCATATCGTCGGGGATGAGCTTCCACAGCACCTTCTGCATTAGTGCATGTCAGTGCACCATGCCATGTTACTGACAAGCTTTGGTTGCCGAGGACGCTCGCCCGTCCGTCTCCTTGCAGCCAATAATATTGGCCCAACAACGCACATGTCCTGAACCAAGCAATACCGTTCTGCAGACGTACTGCAGCCCGGCATCGCTATCGAATGAACGTTGCGATGATTATGCTCGATGACGATCTGATCCTCTTCGACTATCCTTCATTGCTATGTCCGCCGCGCTGTCATCCATCGTTTCTCCCGTGTTGGGGCCCCAAATGCCGCAGCATGCCAGGTACACGAACTGTGATTGGGATTTTGCATCCCATCAATACTTGTTCCCGCGGACCATGCAGTAGCATTGGACAAACTTACAGGACTAGCTTCCCCGGTAACGCGGAATCCTGGAGAAAGTCCAACGTCATGGAAAGCTACAAAAAGGCCATGGACGTCCAAAAAGCTTGATCCCCCAAGCCTGAGCGGTACTCTCCCAAAGCACAAGGAACGTTTCTCAATATGAAGCCTCAACTCCTTTCGTTGCTGCCGCTGGCATCCGTTGCTAGCGCCAGCTGGTCCAAGAATCTGAATTACCGCTCACCTTCGGAACACCATCCGGCTCTTGGAATCTCAATCCATAAGGTGGCAAAGAGAAATGATCCAGCATCCGCGTATGAACCTTCCAGCTTGAACTTCACCCATGGTGTTGCCTCGGGAGACCCATACCCAGACAGCGTTATTCTCTGGACACGCGTTGCGCCTCAGAACGACAATTCGCAATCCAATGTTACAGTCACGGGTTACGCACCTCTTTTCGATCACGACAACGAAAAGTACGTGCAGGTTTCCAAGTCGCCAATTTGCGTGGAATACAAGGTCTACGAGGACAAGGAATGCTCGTCGACTGTAGACTCGGGCACAGTGTATACCAGCTCTGATGTTGATTTTACGGTCAAGGTCGAGGCCAAGAACTTGAAGCCATTCAGCACGTATTACTACCAGTTCAATGTATGCAATTCGGACAACAAGAGTCCTCTTGGCCGCACCAAAACCACACCAAATGCCGACGACGACATCACCAATGTTAGGCTTGCTGTGTACAGCTGTTCAAACTATCCCTTTGGCTTCTTCAATGCGTATGGTAACCCCGTGCGAAAGGTATGTTATGCTAATTCTCGGGTCGAACTTATCCTGAACTAATCGTGATACAGGACTCTGTTGATTACGTCGTTCATCTTGGAGACTACATCTATGAGTACAAGAACGGCGAGTATGGCTGGGGTAACAGCATTGGCCGTATTCCCGAACCGGACCGTGACATTTACACTTTGTACGACTACCGCAAGCGACTTGCAACCTACCGTACCGACTTGGATCTTGTTGCCAGCCACCAACAATTCGCATGGATCCCGGTTTGGGACGATCATGAAGTAGCTGATAACACGGTATGCTCAATCTCCTCTCTTTACAAAACTTATCCTAATCATCGATAGTACCGCGACGGCAGTTCCAAACTCAACAACACCGAAGACTCCTTCGTTTACGATGGGGGCGTTTCAGTCGACCAGCGTAAAATGAACGCAGTTCGTGCCTACTTTGAATGGATGCCTATTCGCCAAGTTGACATGGACGATAACCTGCGCATCTGGCGGTCCTTCTCCATTGGCAAACTGGTTGATTTGATCATGCTCGACACACGCCAATACGATCGCTCTATCACCGATCTTTACTGGAATACTGATTACATTCACGCTATCTCTAATGACGCCAGCCGCTCTCTCATGGGTGCCAACCAGGAGAACTGGTTCTACCGCAGTCTCTCGCATTCAGCCAAACGCGGCGCAACATGGCGCGTTGTTGGCTCTCAGATCGTCTTCTCGCGCCTGAACCAGTCCGCAGCATACGGCGAAGAGAACCCACTCAACTACGATGTATGGGACGGGTATCTCGCCAACAAGAACCGCACGCTGAACCACCTTTACAGCAACAACATCAACAACAACATTTTCCTCGCAGGAGACAGCCACGCTTCGTGGGTCAGCGACCTCATCTGGCTCGACGAGAAGAATTACGATCCCAGCACGGGTGCCGGCAGCATCGGAGTCGAGTTCGCTGGCTCAGCAGTAACTTCGCCCTGCCCTTATGGCGCAAACATTTCCCTTGCAACCGCAAACAACTACTCGTCCATTATTCAGTCGGCGAACCAGGAGCTGCAATGGCAAGACTTGTACTACCGCGGTTACTTTGAGCTCCACTTTTCACATGACGAGCTGACAGCCAAGTTCTTTGGTCTGCCAACGGTAGTCACGCGTAATGGCTGGGAGATTCCTCTTGCCAACTTCACCGTCAAGAGCGGAGAGAACAAACTCCAGCGTCCCGTCGCGGGCGGTGTTGTTGAGAGCGGTAGTTTGAAGGGAGGAAAGACGGTGCAGAATAATCTTACGCTCGATACTAACAACGGCACTTGGTTTGTTAGCCATGCCGACTTGTCTGTTTTGTGAGGCAACGAAAAAAAAAGAGAACATAATTGGAAAATTGGGGTTAGACCTGGGTTTATTAGAATACCAGAGAAGAAGAAAAATCTAGAATTTGTTATCTTGACTAAACTAATTCTAATATCATGATGTTTGCCTAAACAAAGAAAGAATAACTCTATGTTCTATGTCTAGTGACGCGGCATTTATTCGTACCCAGCTGGTTCGAGCTTCTCAGGGAACGCAGGCTGATCCAAGCGACTGGTACATGCAGCCTTCCAGTTCTTGGGCGTGTACTTGTCTACGATGCCCTTGAAAGCTTCTAGGGTGCAGAAGGTCGTGTCGCCCTCGAGATGCTTGCCTGCTGCCTTGCAACCTGGTATCTGCATGATTTTATCGTTGTACCTGATTCGTACGTAGTAGTCGTTCAACTGGTCGCGCTGGGTCTGCGTAAGGTCGGTCAAGGGCTTTCGTGCGATGCCCTGGGGTGCGAGACTAGCGTCTGAAGTGACTTTTGTGCTGCCGAAGAGGGAAGACCACCAGCTTTGGCTTTGGGGCTGTGGGTTCTGTTCGGGCAGGGAAGGCGTCGGGGAGACAGTACTGGCACCTCGCTTTCTGAACATCTCGACGGCGATGTGGGATGTGAAGGGCGGCCAGTTCTCGCCTTCAAATGCGCCGAGCGAGGTCAACATGCCGGCCAAGGTTGTATCGTGACAGCCAGACATGGCAAAGCGAATGTTTGTTTCGCCGCCTCGGCCTTTGCCTAACTGGCCATCTACACCGCCTACCTCGACGATCCCCGAGTTTCCGTTACGCTCGACGCTGCCGACCATGCGGGAGGTGATGTCGCCCATTAGACCGCCGATACCGAGCATACGGTACTCTGATGACTCGGTGTAGCCCTTGAACCATTCTTCCACGGCAATCTTGTCGATGATTGAGCGGGCTTTGGGATCGTAGAATGCCTTGGGGAGCTTGGTCTCCGGCCCATGAGCATCAGTCGCATTCAACGTATCCATAATACCCGAGAGTCGTGGGTGAGAGTCAACAGCGACCTTTTGTTCATTAGGCATCCATTTCGAGAGGACTTTGGAGAGGTAACGCATGTCGTCCGTATCGTTCCATTTATCAGCTGCGCGCTGTGCAAATGCGCGGCTGAGTTGGGCGAAACGCCTACAGCTTGCGTCATTGGGATATAGTGTCTCATCCGCAGGTGTTCTAGTGATTATGGTGGGAGGTGGGAAATCAGAGGTTCTTGCTGAGGGCGGGTAAAAGCCCCAGAAAGCCTGCTGAACGGATTCCAGAGCACGTGGCATAGGCGTTGCGCGTAAGTAGATCATGTCGCTATCTGAAATCAGCGCTGGCATGAACTTGAGCTGATCGATATAGAGATGGCGGAGTCTTTCGCCCAGAGCCAGTGTTGTTTCTCGGCCTTTGTCTGTAAGTTCGCCTGGTTGGCATATCGCATCAAACTCGCCCTTGGGTCCCGAGGCAATGACTAGGTGTTATTAGTGATGGTTGCTTCAAGGAATAGGGCTTTGCTACCCGGCCCATCATCCATGCCAAAAGTCTCTAGTCGCCTTCGGTATTTGAGTTGGTCCCATTTCGAAAAATCCTTAGTGTTGAGTATTACGCTTGTTAATTGGCGAGCAGCACTGCAATATGGCCAATCTGTGAATGCGTCAGACCAAACTCTTGGAGTTGCTTTTTTTATTATCCCATACACGCTGGGAGACCTGTCTGTTGTTGTTGTTAATGATCGTCATGTGATGTGGGGAATTAAAGGCTTATCTACGTTTTGAAAGCGAGGTGACACAGGGCTTCTTTCGCCTGGATACTCATGTCAGTACTGGTGTGCGTGGACAATTGTGCCATAGTAGAGAATCTGACCATGACGTAATAGCTATCTCTGATTAGCAAAGTCGCGAAGAGAAGTCACAATTATCTGTCTTACAATCTGTACAAGCTGCAACTCGAGCTCTTTTGGATACAGCTTCTCAAGCTCGTCCTTTGAGTAGGGTTGACGCGGGACCAAGGTAGTCATGACTATATGAACCAAAAGAATTGCAATTAAACTAAGAAAACGTCTTCTGCAATCTGCGAAAAAGCAAAGTTAGGTTGAGCCCGGTGGAAGACGTTCTTCACGACGCTTGCAATCACGTGAGGCGTGCGGACGTCATTGTGTCTCATTGGCCGGCGCTATTCCGCTCAGTCTCACCATGCATCGCGCGTAACTTTGGCCGTCTTTTTGGAATCCATGAAGCTGCAACGTCAAGCCGTCGCCAATTGACCTGTCAAGACATTGAGTCAATTTTCCGCGCGCATGAACACCTGATCCGATCCAGATTTGTAAGTGAAGAATACATACGCTGAAAAGTTTCGTTGCCCAAATGCCTAACCACAATTTTAGTATCGGCACTCTTCGCCCGCCGTTCGAGGCATACAAGGACAACATGTTGGGCGCATACATATGTCGACAATGTCGGACACGTCTTTTCCGAAACGTCGGTCTCGTTCGTAATCCTCAATGGCAATCTCGAACCATATTTACCTCGCTGCGCCCGCGACCGAATATAAAGCTAGATGAAGGGAAGGCAGAGTCTACGGTTCAGGAAGAGCCACCCCCTGCACAAGAAACAGTACAGGGCGGATCGAGCACGCGAGTGACATTACAAAGGCAGCGACCGCTTGTGCGGAAAACAACAGAAGATGAGCCAGACATACAGTACTCACAACGAAGGAGCCAGCGGGTACGGCTCAGCCGTTACTCGGGTTTATTGGACGACAGTACAGCGGCCGATTCTTTATACGAGGACTACGGGCAAGAAGACACATACCAGGAAACAGGACAAACAGAGGCATCAAGTGACAAACTGACTTATGCTGCTCCAATCCGCGAAGCTCTTGAGGACAGCCATGTCCAGGGAGCCTGGGATTTGTTCGAGAAGACGTACACAGAGAAAGGATGCAAAGCCCTGACTGAGCCAACCTATCCTGGAGAATTGTTGAAACAAGAGTTTGTTTTCAGCCGTCTTCTCGGAGCTGTTACGGGAGCGCTTTGCTCAGGCAGGAAAAGTGTGCAGGTCACCCCGACTCAGGTGCTATTCAAATACCAGCAACTTGGTGTTGTTCGCCCAGAGTACTGGGTCAAGCCAACACTAGCCCGTCTGACACATGAGGTAATTCGGGCTTCGGGAACCTCTCAACAAAACTTGCCATTGTTGCTTGACGAGTTAGTTTCTTTATGGCGACTATTCTTCCAATGTATGAGATCAGAGAGCGATGTACTTGAGGCCATCAGCGACGACTGGTCTCTGCCACCTCTCGAGGAAATGCCCGACGTGTATGACGTTAGCGATTTTAACATGCGTTTGCAAAGGTATATTCCCAAATATGTCAATAGACCCGGATTAGGCTTTTGTGCTGTGTACCTGTACAGCATTTCGGACGCTCTGGAGCCAACTATCCAACAAAAGGCAGCGCCCTTTTTACGATTTCTCGAAAGGATACTTGCTAAGTCGCGTGTGGACACCGTATTCATACACACCCAAAAGGCAGAGCAGTTCAAAGAATTGCCAGCCAATCTTCGACAGGAAGTAAGAGCAAGGATTGAGGCAGCACCCCGAAAGGCCATGGTAGCCCTTGGAAAAGAGGGTGAAAGCCCCGACGAGTTGACCAACCTAGAAGCATTCCACATGAAGAGCATAGCCCGTGTCGTTCAAACCATGACATCGGTCACGAAGTTAGACCGCATCTGGGCAGAGGCCCAAGAAACATATCTTAGCGAAAACAAGACATCGATTCCCCGCTCAGTATACAATAGCTTCCTTTCCGGTTACTTGACTCTTCTCAATTCACAACGTGCAGTAGAAGTGTGGAATCACATGATGGCACATGGCGTCAAGCCAGACATACAGTCGTGGGTTGCTCTTCTGAATGGGTGCGCCAAAGCAAAGGACCTCAATGGATTCAATGCCATGTGGCAAAGGATGATGAATAGCGGTATTGAGCCAGAAAACTATGCGTGGACGACGCGGGTCAACGGTCTAATGTCGCTGCGACAAATTGACAAAGCGCTGGCTGCGCTGGATGAGATGGGCAAACGCTGGCTCGCAGCAGAATATGCCACGAACAACACAAAGGCACAGGGCAAGGGTCAAAAAGGCGCCAACAGGAGTCCCGGCAAGGCTGTGAACAAGTGCACAAAACCTTCTATTGAAGTTGTCAATGGAGCGATATCGGCCATTGTACAGATACGTCCCGAATCAATGCGCCACGAGAAACGTGTAGCATACGTACAGAAGATTCTCGGATGGGCGGCAAATTTCCAGATCAAGCCTAACGCCATCACATACAACAGTTTGATACGACTGTACCTGCTGGCCAAGGACACACGGACCGCTTTAAGACTTTTATCGCAGATGGAGAAGGAAGGGATTGAGGGTGACATTGCAACGCACACAATGCTTATGAGCGCCGCTTTTGAGAACCAAGTGTTTGACGGACAGACTGAGCAGGAGCAAATGGAAAAAGTGCTGGCAATTTTGAACGACTTGGAAAGCAGCGGGTTGACGCTGAACGACCACGTCTACTCGACAGCCATTGACCGGCTGCTCAAAGGATACGCCAACTACACAGCTGTGCGCGCCGTCATGGAGCATATGACGCAGCGGAATTTGACACCCTCAGCCCACGTGTACACGTCGCTGGTAACGCACTATTTCCAATCTGAGCCGGCGAATCTGGCCGAGGTGGACAGCATCGTCAACCTGCTCTTCACGGCACCACGCATGCCAAGCGACCGCATCCTCTACGACCGTCTGGTAGAAGGATATGCGCTGCATGGCGATGTAGGCAAGATGATGAGCGTGCTGACACGCATGTCGAAGCAAGGGCTGCTCCCCGGGTGGGGTGCGCTGATCGCAGTGGTGCGAGCCTTGGTGCAAGAGGGCGACTACGAGCGTGCGCGTGACGTGGTTCGCGACGTTGCCAAAGGCGAGGGCGTGGCGAGAAGCGGTATCCTGGGAGACAGGAATATGGAAAGTACCTTTCGCAACATGGTGAGTAGACTGGGGCTTGGCGAGGAGCGGATGGGCGATTTCTTGGCAAGTGCGAAACAGAGGAATAGTGGCAGTGTTGTGCATCACTTTGTGGAGAGGGATGGTCTCGACTCTTCTTCGTCTGTACAGCAGGCGCAGCAGCAACAGCAACAGCATGTGTCAGACGAGGGAGCGGTCGAGGAAGATGTGCATGGTTTCTTGTCCAAGGAACGAGAGCCTGAGCCACGGGATCAGCGTCCTTGAAGCGCTATGTGAGATGGATAGCCTTTTAGTTTGCTCGATTACAAACAACAAGGCATCTCAGTCGTTGCACACATCAGCATATGGGGGGGTTATAGTGTTGAAACTTTGTGCAGTGACATCCTGATAAGCCTTTTGTTGCAAACGTTCTTTTCATCTCTGCCTATCGCCAGTAGGGAGCGCCTGCCCAGCATTGATAACAGGAGAAAAAAACGTTCCAACCCGTCTCCCTCAGATCGATGTAGTATCCAGAAACCTTAAGATCGGAGGGGGTCTAGCAAGAATGGGTAAAAGATGCTCGCATGACATAATAGCAGGGGTTCCAATGTGGGGGGTTACCAGGCGATAGGGAGGAGGCATTAAATTATGATCCCGAAACATGACCAATCAACTATGATGAAGGAAAATATTTTTTCCCTTGTTTTTTTTTGCTTTTTTCCTAATCTTCCCTTTTTTTCCCGCTCTTGATTGCTAGATCCTTGGAAGAATGCAGTGGGAGCCCAATTTGCTCGGGTTTCCAGTTTTGCAAATTTTATTCGAGCGGAGCCGGATGTAGGGAATCACCCCCCCTGGAAAAAAACTACAAGTTTAGAGTATAGTTGTGTACTAACCGGAATATTAGTCTGTGTGTGTGTAGTGGGAAGAGAATCAGGAAGGAGCTAAAGTAGTTAGTAAGTAATTTGACACGGGCAAATCTAATTTGAATGGTTTGGCCACTAATTTTAATTCAAAAGTCCGGTTGGAGAGGGAAGAAGGGAGCAGTAGGGTTAACAACACGAGCAGTTGGTACGAGACACGTGTCGCACCTACATTGTCTCGGGAGATGGGGTTTCGAGCAGCATGAGTGGTAGTGGTGTCAAAGGACGGGTGTTGATACAGGCTTGGGGGAAGGTGGTGAAACAGACTTGTCTTGTCACCTGTACGGGCTGAGGGCCTATCCCACTCGGGAGACGGAGTTGCAGGGGTTTCAGGGTGAAGAAGGATATGCTTCTGTTAGGGGTTGGATACGGGCCGAATGAGTAAAGGGCGTAAGCATAGCCGTTTGATAAGATACAGATGCTTTTTGATAGCGGCGTGAGTGGACGGGTGTTAATGGGTGCTATTGATTGGTATAGTATGCGCATGGAACGGGGCGAGCGAAGTTTGGTTGTGAGGTACAAGTGGATAGCTTAACAATATGCCATGTTCCACTTATCATAGTGCAGACGGAGAGACTCCGGGGAACAAGGAACAGGAATGTAGGGAAGTAAAAATAGGAGGTTGGATGGGGAAGGACATGTGCATGTGGGCTAGATGGAGGTGATTAGCAAATGAGAAAAAGAGCAGAGCATCAAGACGGCAAAGTGATGGATATGCAGCGACAGGCTCTCCTGGAAGGTGCAGATGGGAGGGTTACCACACAGGGAAACTCAAAAGGGCAATGACGATATGGACGATCACGGTCAGGGGGGTGGTTCGGCTTTTTGCAGGGCAGGTGCCGTCCAGAAACGTTTCCAAGGAGGTTGCGGAAGGAGGAATAAGGCCGGCCAAGAACCATGTCAGCCTTGTCTGTCTGACTGACAGAGACGGGCAGGCAAGTATAGCCTTAGGCCGCCCAAAAGAGATGTCAGCCGGCGTATAGGATTAGCGTGTGAGGGTGGCAGCATTCTTCCTGGTGCTGTTCGTCTTTGGCGAAGTCGGAGGCTTGTTGTTCCTAATTTTATCCACACGTACATAGTGACGGATAGACTTGGACATAGGCCGCGTCATCGGCACTCATGTGAGTGTCCAATACTTTGCAGGATCAAGTGGCGCAGTGCATGCTGCCATTAAGCCAGTGCAAATGCAAAACATGAGGAGCAAGTAGGCAGTTTTGATCGAGACGAGCGTTGTTGAGATGAGGCGGATCAACGGGACATGGCATGGGCAAAAACTATGGCCCAGGGTGGCCGGATGCCCAAGCAGAACGATGTGAGGTTCTATTGGACGGCAAGCTCCGCGCTGTAGTCAGCAAAAGTGACAGCTTCGACGTGCTTGACCGGCGACGGGTGTTTCGCAACTCTCTCGAGCTACCAATGAAACGACGAGCGGCCTCCCCAGAGGATGCGCAAGTTTCTGCGACTGCTATCACACATACTACTGTACTACACAGAGTTCTGGACTGTCGCTAGAGCCGGGGAGGGCATGTGAAAGATTGCAATGTGTGGTTGTGCACCACACCCCGTTCCGGCGGGCGGCTTAGGCAGCCGCTATCCAATCATGCACGGTGGCGTGTGAGCAGCCCAGATGAGGGAACAAGCCAGAGCCAGCGCTATTGGCAAGCTGATAAAGGACTATAGGACGGGTGAGCGGGCTGTAAGTAAGTAAGTAAGTATTTGTATATGTACTAGTATGTATGTGTAAATACCGTGTCGTGTAGCACATGGGACTAGTACGCATATGCAGTATGAGCGTAAACGCGCGTTGGCGTGTCAGACGGTGGTGATGGATGTGGCTGAAGCGCTGCGACGACATGCCGACATGCCGTTCCGGTGTGGCTGACTGGCTGACTGGCTGACTGCCAAAGCAGGAATTACCGCAACGCTGACCCGAACCGGCTAGCGCGAGCCGGATGACAGCACAGCCTCAGTGGTGGTGCACCATGGCGGCCCTTGATTGGCTGCACCAAGCGTCGGTGTCGGCGCCGCGAGGCCGAGGGTGCATACAGAGTTGCCTAGTGCAATATCGTGTGCTGGACGTCGAGGGCAGATGGGACGACTGTGTCTGTACGAATTGTTGTGTGCAAGTGCAAGCAGCAGTGCAACAAGGGCCGGCGTGTCCACTTTGCCCATGTCGTCCCGATCGTCCATGTGTTCGGCCGTGGCGTCAGGGAGCGTTGGGGGTATTCCCGGCGCTCAGGAGACGCCAGACCAGGGCGGCAGCCAACGCTTGGTAGGCGTTGATCGCCCCCGGCCTTGACCAACCGGCGCCTGCCTCGTCCTGCTATTTGCAGCCAGAGACTCCGCCTCGATTATGAAACGCCTCCCCGACGGGCGGTGGAGCCCCCCCAGCACAAGCAAGGCCTGCGCCCGTCCCTCGCCCACCCATTCCCTTCCTCTTCTGCTCTGCCTGCCTGCCAACTCGACACATCCTCTCTTCTCCTGCTTTTCCTTCCGACACTTCCGCACATCCGCCCGTCATCCCTCGCCCAACTCTTATTGTCGACACTTTCCATCTGCGCCCACACTTCAGAACCCCCTTTGCACACAGACGCTCCCCCAAGGTGCGGACCCTCCGGCTCCCATCCTCCGTGCTTGAACAAGGCCCAGAAACGAGCTGACGACGACTCCTAGCCAGCCTAACCGCTCCTGTCGCCCTTCCACTGCCCGCACCGCAACGTCCCCAAGACACGACCTTGTCTGCCCAAGGGCCGCCCAAACACCCAGCCGCGACTCCCCCAGTAGTCAAACAAACAACATGGCTACCGCAGTTCAACCGGCCATGTCGATGGCGCCCTTCAACAGCCTATCTAATCAGTGCGTCGATCCCAACGAGTTCTTCGACTTTGGTCAGATGCCCTCGCCCACTCAGCCCACCCTCAAGCGTGAACAGAGTGCTACGTCGGCTATGGGCAGCCCGACCAGCACCAACATCGACGACGACCTTCAGACTCCAGCAAAGCCTAGCCACGAGTACGAACGCTTCAAGCAACAGACCGGCCTTCCCTCTGGATCCATTGCCGGCCTCGCTCCCAACTACAACACCGGCTTCCCTCTCTTCTCCTCGTCTGGCCTCGACGAAATGGCCATGATGGGAGGCGACTCCATCATGGACGGTAGCGGCTGGAACAGCGGACTGCCCATGGAAGTCCCCATGAACATGGGCATCGACTACCGCAGCAACAGCTTTGTCTTCAACGAAGGCTCCCAAGACGATTTTGTCGACCCCAGTGCCATCACTCAAGAGGAGGTACCCAACGTCCGCGTCTGGCCTGGTATGCACCAGCAACAAGCTGCTATGGCCAAGGCGCAGGCGCAGGCCCAGCAGCAGCGAGCACAGCAGTTGGCCCACCAGAAGCAACAGCAAGCCCTGCAACAACAACAACAACAAATACCTCAGTCCCGTCTGCCTTCCACTAGCCAGGCCAGCCGCAAGACTTCAAGCCCACTTAGTGACGCTCACACTGAAGAGATGATCACCCGCGTTGTCGCACAGATCCGAGCCGACAGCCAAAACGCCTCAACATCCATGCAAGACAATAACCAGGGTCTACTCCCCCACATCATCCGCGCCAAGAAGGACGAGGAGGATATGGATGAGGATGAGAGGCTACTTGCCTCCGAGGAGGGCAAGAAGCTCAGCTCCAAGGAGCGCCGTCAATTGCGCAACAAGGTCTCTGCGCGCGCCTTCCGCTCAAGGAGAAAGGGTAAGCATAAACACCGATGTATCTATATACAATTTCCAGCTAACGTCGTTCAGAATACATTGGCCAACTCGAAGGTGAAGTCGCCATGAAGGTCAACGAGGCCAACGAGCTCCGCGCCCAGAACCGTCTTCTTATGGAGGAGAATGCCCGCTCGCGCGCATTCATCGAGCGCCTTCTCCGCCACCAGGCCTTCACTCCCTTCCTCGAGGAGCTCTCCCGCGACGAGTCTCTTCAGATCAAGGCTCCCATGACTGCCATGCCTACCTCTTCCGCTGCCGTTACCGCTGCCTCCGCTCCTGCCTTCCAGCCCCAGTCGCAGTTCAACGCCATGTCGCAGCCCGAGAACCCTCAAGTTACCATGACAATGGCTCCTGAACCCCAGATTGACTTTGCCATGCTCAACTTGAACAACTCCAATAACGCCAACCCCAACTGGAACGTCAACAATGGCTTCAACTTCCAGCAGCCTGTTGCTTTCGCCGTTACCGAGCTTCCCGAGGGTCCCTCCAACCCTCTCGACACCCAGGCTATGTCCGGCAAGGGATACAGCGCCATCTTCAACGCTGAGGATGATGCATCTGTTGAGGAGATCAAGGCTGACTACCCCATCATCAAGAAC